ACCGCAACCTCTGCCTCCTGGGTTCAAGTGGTTCTCCTGCCTGAACCTCCTGACTAGCTGGGATTACAGGCATGTGCCACCATGCCCAGCTAATTTTTGTATTTTTAGTAGAGACGGGGTTTCACCTTGTTGACCAGGATGGTCTCGATCTCTTGACCTCGTGATCCACCCGCCTCGGCCTCCCAAAGTGCTGGGATTATAGGGGTGAGCCACCACGCCCGGCTGCCCTGCATTTATAGATGAAGAAATGGAAAGCAGAGAAGTGGAATAACTTGCTAGTTGGTGGTAGAGCCAAGTTTCTTGACTCCCAGACAAGCAAGAATCCAAGACTATGCAAGTCACATCTGTCAGGAGAGGAGAAAGATATTGGGATTATTCAGCCTGGAAATATTCCAGGGGAGGACAGGTAGGTCAGAGAAAGAAAATGAAATCTGGTGCTGTCCTATCTTCCCCTTCCTCCCTCACTCCACACCACTACTCCCCCCGCACACACACACACTCATACTTCATCTTCTCAAAAGAAAGAGCAATATCATAAAGGAGAATTTTCTGACTAAAAGGCTTGATTCCAAAACACAGAAATGGAGCTGGGCTTTTGTGAGCTACAGCAGAGAGCAGAAGGCATTCCATTTTCACAGCAGAAGGCTGTGACAGAAAGAGTACCCCTAGTTTTGAACAGTATGCATTTATGCATGGTTGCCTTAATTACTGATCTGATTTTTCAGGTCATATGAGAACTAATGGGAAAAAAAATAGGAATTTTATTTGTAGATGGCATAATCCCAGCTCACTGTAACCTCTGCGCTCCTTGGGTTCAAGTGATTCTCCTGCCTCAGCCTCCCAAGTAACTGGGATTACAGGCACGTGCCACCACACCCGGCTAATTTTTGTACTTTTAGTAGAGACAGGCTTTCGTCGTGTTAGCCAGGCTGGTCTTGAGCTTCCGACCTCAGGTGATCCTCCCGCCTCGGCCTCCCAAAGTGCTGGGATTATAGGCGTGAGCCACCATACCCGGACTGTGCAAGGTAATTTAACAGTTTTTATTATTTTGTTATATTTATTTTTGAAACAAAATTTTTATGAAGTAAAAAATTGAGTCTTTTTTTTTTTTACCTTCAATAAGTAATTTTAAATCCTTATTAATTTTTATAATCTCCAAAACTCTTTCAAGGCTCTTTAAAACCTTAATTGTCACCTTTTCAAAATTCTCAAACTTCTACCCACGTATCTTATGCATGTTTAAAAGACATTGTGGGCTGGGTGCAGTAGCTCACGCCTGTAATCCTAGCACTTTGGGAGGCCGAGGTGGGTGGATCAACTGAAGTCAGGAGTTCAAGACCAGCCTGGCCATCATGGTATAACCCCATCTTAAAAAAAAAAAAAAGACGTTATGATGGCCAAGTGCAGTAGCTCACGCCTATAATCCCAGCACTTTGGGAGGCCAAGGTGGGTGGATCACATGAAGTTGAGAGTCAAGACCAGGCTGGCCAACATGGTGAAACCCTGTCTCTATTAAAAATACAAAAAAAATTAGCTAGCCGTGGTGGAAAGCACCTGTAATCCCAGCTACCCTAGAGGCTGAGGCAGGAGAATCACTTGAACCCAGGAGGCGGAGCTTGTGGTGAGCCAAGATCCTGCCATTCCACTCCAGCCTGGACAACAGGGGCGAAACTCTGTCTCAAAAAAAAAAAAGATGTTGTGTACATTTAACATATTAGTCTATCTAAGCTTTTTTTCTGTGAATAAAAAGCAAGGAGGAAGTGAGATGTCCTTCCTGGTAAATGCTGAGTGTTTCTGAATGTTGAATTCTGTTAACTGACTGAATCTGTCTCCATTATGCTATTGAAAGTGTTTCTCAAGGTCACCAGAGACATATTACCAAATCCAGTGAATTTTACCAATTCTTCCTGCATTCTAACCTATCTGTAGCATCTGACACTTCCTTGATATAGTTTGTTTTTTAGACAGAGTCTGCTCTTTCGCCCAGGCTGGAGTGCAGTGGTGCGATTCTGGCTCACTACAGCCTCTGCCTTCCAGGTTCACACGATTCTCCAGCCTCAGCCTCCCAAGTAGCTGGGATTACATGTGTCCGCCACCACACCCGGACTAATTTGTGTATCTTTAGTAGAGACAGAGTTTCACCATGTTGGCCAGGCTGGTCTCGAACTCCTGACCTTAAGTGATCTACCCACCTCGGCCTCCCAAAGTCCTGGGATTACAGGTGTGAGCCACCATACTCGGCCTAATTTTTGTATCTTTAGTAGAGACAGAGTTTCACCATGTTGGCCAGGCTGGTCTTGAACTCCTGACCTCAAACGATGCACCCGCCTCGGCCTCCGAAAGTGCTGGGATTACAGGTGTGAGTCACCATGCCCAGCCTACTTCCTTGATTGTTTCTATGGTGTTCTCTTAATCCTCCTATGATAACACAGCACACAATCCCAGTTCCGTACCTCTCTGACAGTGCCTTTCACTCCCTTAGGACTCTCTGTTTCCTCATGTCCCTTCCAACTGACATTCAGCCCTTGAGAGGGACTTTTGATCTAATATTTGGTCAATGAAAATGGATGAAATAACTAGTCCAGTTTTCTTTGTTGATTTGACCAAGTAGACCTAAATTTTCTGCTGCTGAAATTAAGTAATAGTGACCTTTCCCCAAAGATTTCCACAGGAAAAAAATTTGTCACTAGATAGAATTTTCTGAATTTTCCTTTTTTTCTCCCATAATTAATTAATTAATTAATTAATTTTTTGGAGGCAGTTTCACTCTTGTTGCCCAGACTGGAGTGCAGTGGCGCAATGTCGGCTCACTGCAGCCTTCACCTCCCAGGTTCAAGTGATTCTCCTGCCTCAGCCTCCCGAGTAGTTGGGATTACAGGGATGTGCCATCACGCCCTGCTAATTTTTTGTATTGAGTAGAGATGGGGTTTCACCATGTTGGTCAGGCTGGTCTCAAACTCCTGACCTTAGGTGATCCACCTGCCTCAGCCTCCCAAAGTGCTGGGATTACAGGCGTGAGCCACCATGCTCGGCTTCATAATTTTTTATATTTTTGGTATCATTAGTAGCCTATCAAGTAATGAATACAGCAAATAACAAATGAACAAATTCACAAGTGTTTTATGGTGTACTGAATAATGCAGCTTGGTTTTTAGGTATACCATCCCCAGAACTGGTTTGTTCTGACCTGTTGGCTGATCCCGTAGAGTACCCTTGAAGTGGGCTGCACCTCTCAGTCCATCCCTACACTCCTGAAGTCAGGTTCCAGAATGTCAGCTCTCAGGCCTTAAATTCCCACCCAACTCTTCAAAATGAGTTTATACATAGGAAGGAGACCAAAATGGGAAGGGGCTCTAAATACCATAAGGAACAGTTGAGGAAACCTATGAAAAAGACTTGGTCAAGGGCACGTCAAAGATGTCTTCAAACATGTATGGAAGAGAAATTAGATCTGCTCTGTGGGTACAGAAGACCAACTGAAGACTAATCGGAAATTGTTTGTTTGTTCATTTGTTTGTTTGTTTGTTTTGAGATAGACTCTTGCTCTGTTGCCCAGGCTGGTATGCAGTGGCACAATCCTATCTCAGCTAACTGTAACCTTCACATTCCAAGTTCAAGCAATCCTCCTACCTCAGCCTCCCAAGTAGTTGGGATTACAGGCACCCACCACCACGCCCGGCTAATTTTTGTATTTTTAGTAGAGATGGGGTTTCGCCGTGTTGGTCAGGCTGATCTCGAACCCCTGACCTCTGGTGATCCGCCCACCTTGGCCTCTCAAAGTGCTGGGATTATAGGCGTGAGCCACTGTGCCTGGCCGAGAAAAAGTTTTAAGAGAGCTAGTTTAGAATGAAGTGATACTGTCTCAGGCAAGATGTCGGTTTCCAGTTCCTGGAAGTATTTGAGAAGCAGAGAAGTATTTGAGAAGCAGAGGCTAAATGAACATTTGTCAGAGTTATAACAAAACAGTTCATTTATCAGATTGAGATTTAAACTTCTAACTCTAAGTGACACCTTCCTCTCCTTCTTTTTTAGAGGGAGGAGGAGCCCTTATCTGAACTAGCCTAAAAAATGAGATTTCAGACACTGGAGCAAAGATGGAAGCAGGAATAAGATAGATAGATAGATAGATAGATAGATAGATAGATAGATAGATAGATAGATAGATTAAAGACATTTGGGTGGGAACAGGAGGAGAGGCAATGGCGGGGCTCCTTGGAGTAGCATAAAGCAGATGACTGATGGAAGGGAAGGGTAAAGTGAGGCAAGGCAGAGAAGGATATCAGAGGAGGGGAGGAATGTCTGTGTGAGGGTTCAGAGAAAGAAGAAGGCCTGGTGTCTATGAAAATGGTAGCACTTTATCTACCCAGAGAGGAGGGTGCAAGCCAGAAGATGGCATAGATAGTGTTACACAGTTCCTCTTACATTTCAACAGAGGAACTTGGATACAGGCTCTTATTCACTGGAAGGAAGACATGCCAGTGTAATGGGAGCTATAGCAAGCCCCCATCTTAAACACTAACACAAGGCCTGTCGCGGTGGCTTACTCCTGTAATCCCAGCACTTTGGGAGGCTGAGGTGGGTGGTTCACCTGAGGTCGGCAGTTCGAGACCAGCCTGATCAACATGGAGAAACCTGTCTCTACTAAAAATACAAAATTAGCCAAGTGTGGTGGTGCACGCCTGTAATCCCAGCTACTCGAGAGGCTGAGTCAAGAGAATCACTTGAACCTGGGAGGTGGAGGTTGCAGTGAGCTGAGATTGTGCCATTGCACTCCAGCCTGGGCAAGAAGAGCCAAACTCTGTCTAAAAAAAAAACTAATACAAAAGAGACAACCTAGAACATGTTGATAAAGAAAGTAAAGGCTAACTTACAAAAATTGTGAATATTTGAAGAAATTCCAAGTGTGATTTCTGCTTTTAACCTACTTTTTGACTTTGACCTCAGGAGCATCTTTTCAAATATCAGTCTCTTTAGTCACCAAATGTACTTTTCTCATTCAGGCAGAAGGCCACAAGCTATACAAGGACCTGAAGAATTTCCTTAGTGCAGTCAAAGGTGGGTATTGCAGCATGGGATAATTCAGAGGGCATTTATATAGCTACTAAGAGGTTTAGGGGTAGAAAACAACAACCATACCCCCAGATTTTTGTCATTTTATCATTTATTTAGACTCCTGGAACTTTGTGGGCCGAGGAAGAGTGACTTTTCCTTTCAGCCCATCCAGCTTCCCTCACTTACATAACCCAAACCTTCTGAGTTCGTCCTTCTGAATTGAACCCACTGATTTGTCACCCATGTGATTACACCAACACTGTTGGGGAACTTGGTGGTGGGACTGAATTCTCTCCTTTCAGTGATGCATGAAAGTTCAAAAAGAGTGTCAGAAACCCTACAGGAGATCTACAGCAACGAGTGGGATGGTCACGAGGAGCTGAAGGCCATCGTAGGGGTAAGAGTGGCTTGGGTTTCACAACTTGTCAGCGGGTACTCCTGTTTGCATCTCAACCTCAGCTTAGCTTCTCTATCCAAGAAAATAGGAGAACAAAGGAGCCATTTCACACTGTGCATTTGTATAGGCTCAGTCACTGGGTGGTAGGAAGAAGCTACAACTATGAAGATAAAAACAAGTTTTCCCTAATCTGTGGATTCCTTTAATTTTGACCCTCTTCCCCTCTTTAAAACATTATGGGAAGTTTTAGCTCCTAAAGATTGGTTGTTTTTTTAAAACAAAGTTCATGCAGTTATATACTCTTAAACTTTCCCATCTAAGCTCTGGAGTCCAAGGCTTTGACCTTGTGCTCTGTTCTTAATCCCCATAGAGCAGTTCCTTGGGGTAGGGGCTGTTTCTTTTCTTCCTCTGACTATTCCCCAAAATCCAACATGATATTCTAAATACAGTGCTACAAAAAAAGAAGTTTTTTGCAAGAAGAATTTGAATATTTCCCTGGTAGACAGTTGTGGTTAGGAAGTGGAGCCTTCACTAGCCTCTGCCTCCATCCCACAGAATAATGATCTCCTTTGGGAGGACTATGAGGAAAAACTGGCCGACCAGGCTGTGAGGACCATGGAAAACTACGTCGCCCAGTTCAGCGAGATTAAGGTACTCAATGTACAGAACCAAGTCTGGGTTGTGGATGGCCCAATCCAGGTTAGAGAACATATTGGGTTAGGCATTGTAAGTAGAATTAGAGCTTCATGATTAGAAATGAAGTTTGGGTAAGTTAGGAGAAAGATTAAGGTTGAGGGTTAGACAAGAGGTTAGGATAGAAGGTTGGAAGTAGTGTGAAGTTTATGTTTAAACTTAGATTTCAAGGCTGGGTGCAGTGGCATACACCTGTAATCCCAGTACTTTGGGAAGCCAAGGCAGGAGGACCACTTGAGCCTAGGAGTTCAAGACCAGCCTGGGCAACGTGGCAAAACCCCAAAAAACTACTAAAAAAATTAGTCAGTGTGGTGGTGCGTGTCTGTAGTCCCAGCTACCCTAGGAGGCTGGTTGAAGGATCACTGGAGCTGGGGAGGGAGAGGTTCCAGTGAGCTGAGATCATGCCACTGTGGTCCAGCCTGGTTGACAGAGGCTGGTGTCTCAAAATAAGTAAATACATAAAATAAACTTAGATTTCAGTGAGCTATATTTGCACTGATTTTGAATTAGATCCAAGTTAGAGGCATCCCTTTTAGCTGTGACAAACAGCTGATGGCACTAAAGATATTTATTGTATAGAAGAGGAAACATGGAGCAATCAGATAGTTATCTTCAAATACTTGAAAGTCTGTTGGGTAAAAGAGGAAGTTCGCCTATTCTAAACTCTTCCAGAAAGCAGAATTAGAGTCCATCTATTCATTAAGCTAGTATTTTTTTTTTTGAGACGGAGTCTTGCTCTGTTACCCAGGCTAGAGTGCAATGGTACAGTCTTGGCTCACTGCAACCTCCGCCTCCTGGGTTCAGGTAATTCTCCTGCCTCAGCCACCGGAGTAGCTGGGATTCCAGGCATGCACCACAATGCCCAGCTGATTTTTGTATTTTTAGTAGAGACAGGGATTCACCATGTTGGTCAGGCTGGTCTCGAACTCCTGACTTCAAGTGATCCGCCCACCACAGCCTCTCAAAGTGCTGGGATTACAGGCATGAGTCACCGCGCCCGGCACTAGTTTTTATTAAACACCTACTCTGTCAGGCACTGTGCTGATTCAGAGGAAGAAGTTAGAGGGAGGCTGACTTAAGTTCCTAATAGTTAAAGCTTTCCAAAAACAAAATGAAATAGACTCAAAGATAGTGAGTTGTCTGTTGTTTGGACAAACAGAAGTCAAACTACTTCTTATCTTGGATATTGTGGAGAAGCCTCATGTGTTGCACGGGAAGTTGGACCACATAATTGCTAAAAATCTTTTCAAATTCTGTGACTGAGAGAATGAGACGATTCAATAACATAGTTTGCTTCTCCCTGGTATAATTTATCTTTTGGATAAGACTGAGTAGACTTTCTCTCAGTGCTCATAGTAATTTATGGCTTTTATTGTGTTTTAGAGCTTTCAAAGCACTTTGTATTCAGCATTCAATCTTTCAAATAACAGTTGTATAAGGGCAGATGGGGCTATTGAGCCTCCGAAAGAAATGTGCCTTGCCACTGGCCACAGGCTAATGAATGGCAGATTTGGGACTAAGGCCCAAAACTCCAGACTTTCACTTTTATGTGACTCTCAAGGTCATTTCTCCTGGAGGCTGAACTAGTTTATAATGGGTTCATAGGAAATACTAAAATTTAATACAGGGGGAGGTGGAGGCAAAAATATAAATATATAAATATATATATATATATATATATATATATATATATATATATATATTACAGATTTCCACATGCTCTGCAGGATTTCCCCTTACTCTATCTCCCTCTGCGAATCCCCCATTCTTCCTAGATACTGAGGGAGATCATACCATGGGCACACAACCCTACTAGAAAATGAAATTTGGGCCGGTTGTGGTGGCTCATGCCTGTAATCCCAGCACTTTGGGAGGCTGAGGCAGGCAGATCACATGAGCCCAGGAGTTTGACACAAGCCTGGCCAACATGGCAAAAACCAATCTCTACTAAAAATACAAAAATTGGCTGAACTTGGTGCACACACCTATAATTACAGCTACTTGGGAGGCTGAAGCACAAAAATTGCTTGAATCTGGGAGGCAGAGGTTGCAGTGAGCTGAAATCTCAACACTGCACTCCAGCCTGGGCAACAGAGCAAGACCCTGTCTCAAAAAACAAAAACAAAAGCCAGGCGTGGTGGCTCACACCTGTAATCCCAGCACTTTGGGAGGCTGAGGAGGGTGAATCATGAGGTCAGGAGTTCAAGACCAGCCCGGCCAACATAGTGAAACCCCATCTCTACTAAAAATACAAAAAATAAAAAATTAGCCAGGCATGGTGTCAGGTGCCTGTAGTCCCAGCTACTTGGGAGGCTGAGCCAGGAAGATCATTTGAACCTAAGAGGTGGAGGTTGCAGCAAGCCGAGATAGTGCCACTGTACTCCAGCCTGGGTGACACAGTGAGACTGTGTCTCAAAAACAAAACAAAAGAAAACAAAACCATAATAGCCCCAATCTGGGGCGCCGTGGGGGGGAAACAAAAGTGAAATTTGATAATAGGACCCGCGAATCATACTCTCTGCTTGGTATTCTGTTACCTATATCCTGGCCACTAAAAAGTGAGTATCCACGCTCTTTCTTGGTACCCTGATCAGGAGAGAATTGCCAAGCGGGGTCGGAAGCTCGTGGACTATGATAGTGCCCGACATCACCTGGAAGCAGTGCAGAATGCCAAGAAGAAAGATGAGGCCAAGACTGCCAAGGTAAAATGAAAACAGCAACAAAAACTAGTAAACTCTTCCTGTTCTCTCTCTCCCCATGGTGGTAGCAGGTGGCTGGGCCAAGGTGATTATGGGAAATTATAAATTCGGCATCAAGTGTCCTGAAGGAAATCTATTTCTTCTGACACTGATGCTGTAAGGATAGTCAGAGTCTTGAGGCTGAGGAGGGCATGGTCAGGGAAAGGAGAGGGATGGCTCCTCGTAAGGCTAGTGCCTAAAAAAATGCAGAGGGTGAAGCAGGTATGCTGTAGTCCTGGGTTCAGAATTGAGGGCAATTGTCTTGTCTCTTTTAACCACTTAGGCAGAGGAAGAGTTCAACAAAGCCCAGACTGTGTTTGAAGATCTGAATCAAGAACTGCTGGAGGAACTGCCCATTCTTTATAATAGGTAATGACTGGAATTCAGAAAAGGTACCTTTGCTTCACACAAGGCACCTTGTGTGCCTTGACGGTAGGCAGATAAAAGTGTTTTAGATTTAAATTCCTGCACGCCCTACTTTTTTTTTTGAGACAGGGTCTCACTCTGTCGCCCAGGCTGGAGTGCAGTGGTACTCAGTATCAGCTCACTGCAACCTCCACTTCCTAGTTCAAGGGATTCTTGTGCCTCAGCCACCCGAGTACCTGGGATTATAGGCATGTGCCACCACACTTGGCTAATTTTTTTTTTTTTTTTAGTAGAGATGGGGTTTCACCGTGTTGCCCAGGCTGGTCTCAAACTCCTGGCCTCAGTGATCCGCCTACCATGGCCTCGCAAAGTTCTGGGATTATAGGTGTGAGCCATCAAATGCAGCCAAATTTTTCACATTTAAAGAGAAATCTGAGCAGAAACTCCATTTGTATCCCTTTTTCTTTTAATTGTACAAGATATGCATTAATACAATTGTAGTCAGAGTATTTTATATTGTCACTTATTAGTGTACATAGGATGGAGCCTTTTAATGAATACGTGTATTCTAAAACATTATGTGACTCCTAATTAAAATAAAATTGAAATTTCATTTTTGATTTATTTTTAGACAGGGTCTCATTCGGTTACCCAGGCTGGAGGGTGGCTCACTGCAACCTGTGCCTCCCGGTTCAATCAGTTCTCCCCATTCAGCTTTCTGAGTAGTGGGGACTACAGGCATGTGCTACCACACCTGACTAATTTTTGTATTTCTTGGTAGAGACAGGTTTCACCCTGTTGGCCAGGCTGGTCTCAAAGTCCTGACCTCAAATGATCCATCTGCCTCAGCCTCTCAGAGTGCTGGGATTACAGGTGTGAAACACCGTGCCTGGCCTAGAAATGAAATTTAATAGTTTAAAAGTATACTTCCTTGATTCACTTACAGGAGAATTCCATTAATGTACATACAGGTGTAGAAGTCCTGTATTCTTAAAGGGAAAGAATAATTATTGCTGTAATAATTAGATGGCTTATATTAATACAGCTCTTTAAAAAATTATTCAAAGCCCTTTCATACTGATTTGGTCCTTCAAGAGCCCAAATCAAGTAACTCCATGAAACTGTTAAACTTTGGTGTCAACCTCAGCTGATATTGTCTCCCCTGGCCTTCCTGCTCCGAAGAATCAGGTGTGTTCCTGGCCCAGCTCTGATGAATACAGATCCCAGAACATCCTGAGTGTGGGATATGGGATGGTTTTCTTTTAGGAGCCTTGGTGGTGGCTGGTTTTGGCTCAAGGTCCTACCTTGTATTTCAAACAAAGAACTCCTTTCCTATGCTTTACCCATATGTGTTTGTTGTTTTGCTTCCTAATAGTCGTATTGGCTGCTATGTGACCATCTTTCAAAACATTTCCAACTTGAGGGATGTCTTCTACAGGGAAATGAGCAAGGTGAGAAGCATCTGGCCAATTGAGACTCCTAGGTGTGTCTTCTAGTAAATATGAAGGTAGCCTTGACTTACATAATTTCTTTAAATTGACACCACAAATTTTGACTTTTATCTTGTGATGAAATAAGAGCACTTGATTGTGTACTTAACAATATTAAAGCACATATATACACGATCAGAGGGCCCTTTCATCTCCCTTAACAACTGAATAAGTACATCCAAATTGGAGCTTTAGCATGAATAAAGGAGGTTAGGTCTATGGAAGGAAGAATTGAAATGGGGAACCCCATTGTCAAATCTCTATTGTTGCTAGGGACTATTTAAGGGAAGGCAGTTTCTCAGGTGGTTGGTCTCAAATAAGACTAATCCTGTCAGTGACAGCCAGCCATATAACATAACTTATGAGGTCTTTTCTAGGCCTGAGATTCCAAGATTCTTTGCTACTACAATGTTAGTTATATTTACGCACAGCTACACATATCACTCTCCATAGTTTATTTGGCTAAAGTGTGATTTGCCTAATTAATATTAAAAATGAGTTTTCATTCCCTGGATCACCTGTGAGAAGCTAGAACCTCAAATCAGACATGAGTTACGGACCCTGCATTGAGACAGCTGCCAGTCTGTTGGAAGAGGTAGAACTTAGAACACAGAAAGACAAGGAAGCGGGGGTAGCAGGACAGGATCTGGATTCTAGTGCTAGACAGACAAGAGGAATTCAGATTGGAGTTGAAAGGGAGGGGTTTTATTTTGGGAAACCATCTGAAGGGGAGGGGAGAAGGGATATGTACTCTCGGGTTCCCAGTTGGCTAGCATCTCCTTCTTTCTCACTGGCTCTAGCTGAACCACAACCTGTATGACGTGATGAGCAAACTGGAGAAGCAACATTCCAATAAAGTCTTCGTGGTAAAGGGACTATCAAGGTGAGCACCATTCAAGACTCTTTTCTGCTTCACATGTCCCATGTGTGAATGTATTCAACATCCTCATCTCTAGTCCAGAATCCTGACCCATGCTTTATGTGGATGTACATGATGATGTTTGTTGTTTGTACTATGCTCCTATAAAAATTATTTTGCTTTTTACTAAATATTTTTAGGCCAGACATGGTGGCTAAGGCCTATAATCCTGGTACTTTGGGAGGCTGAGGCAGGAGAATCACTTGAGACCAAGAGTTTTGAGACCAGTCTGGGCAATGTAGTGAAATCTCATCTCTACAAAAAAAGATTAAAAGAAAAAAAAATTAGCCAGGCACAGTGATGAGCACCTGTATTCCTAGCAATTCAGGAGGCTGAGTCAGGAGAATTGCTTGAGCACAGGTGTTCTAGGCTACAGTGAGCTATTATCATGCCACTGCACTCTAGCCTGGGTGACAGAGCAAGACCCTGTCTCTAAAAAAATAAAAATTAAATATTTCAGACATACTAAATGTATAAAGAATAACACAACAAATAGCCACGTACTTACCACCAAATTTAAGAAATCGACTGTTGTAAATATAGCTGAAGTTCCCAATATTTCTTCCCTATTCATTTTCTGTTTCTGACCCCACTAAAGGGTCATGTGTGTTATTTATGTGTGCATGTATGTTTCACACATAAAATAAAACAACCTGCAAAGAAATAAAAAAACAACATGCATGGAAATAAATACTAAATATAGTAATAAATACTAAATGTAACATGCACACATTGTATTATTCTACACATACATGCATACATAAAATATTGTTTTCCATGTTTTTAAGCTTTATATAAATGGACACATACTGTATGTATTCTTCTGCAACTTCTTTTGTTCTCTTAGTATTGTTTGCAAGATTTTTCATTATTGCTACATGTAGCTATAATAGTTCTGCTATTTCCTTTCTATAGCTGTTATTGTGTGCCTAGTTCATGATTTATTTCTTCATCCTCCTGCTAATTTGGGGCATTTGAGTTGTTTCCTAGGTTTTTGCTATTATAAATAATGTTGTGATGAACATGTGTTACGTTTCTCCCTGCGAATATTATCAAGAGTTTCTTTAGGGCCTATACTTGGAGCAGGATTGTTGAGTCATAAGATCTGTCATGGGGGCTTCTCGACCCTTATGAGATATTGCCACATTGCTCTGCAAGGTGGTTGTTCCAGTTTACTACTCATCAGCCGTGAGTGAAAGCCCTCATGAGTCTACATTCTCACTACATGTGAAATTGTCAGACTTCTTCATTCTTACAAGCTCATGGGTATGAAATGGAATATTTTTGCAGTTTTAAGTCACAGCTTCATGATTGCTAGTTACCTTGAGCATCTTTTCATGTTATTGGCCATATAAGGTTCCTGTTCTATGACTTTCCTATATATCATTTTCCTATTTTTCAATTAGGTTGTTGACCTTTTTAAAAAAATTGATCTATATTAGGTTTTGTTTGCTGGTATATTCAGGATTCTAATTCTGAATGCTCAAGGACAAGCATGGCATCCAACACATAGTAGGTACTTGATAAATGTTATAATTGATTCTTTTGTTCGTGGTGGTTTTGTTTTATAAAGTTGCCACACACACTGAACATTGAACCACTGCTCATAGGGGAAACACAGGTTTCTGTGAGGCCCTGGTTTATCAACTACCCAAAACATAACCTTGTTTTATGTGAGTTTCTGTTTAAAGACACTTTATTTAATACATATTATTAATTCATTAATATTGAACTCACGACCAGCAGCATTGTAACTCATACCTGAATGAAGCTTACCTAATACATGTATTTTCTCTGGAAGGCACATCAGAGTCTTCTTGCACTTAGCACTACAGCTTGGGGGCCATTTTAAGCAGCAGAATCACCAACAAAAAGCTCAAAGTTAGGAAAACCTGGTGAAAAGGACACTTGTTTACAGTTTGAGAATGGAAACAAGAAGGTACATGGTTGCCTTGTTAGATTTCATCTGGAAAGTGTATGGCAGGCAACTCATTCTTCGCCACTTGCACGTGTCCAGTAGAGACTGGGAAAGCACCACAAGCATTGATTTGGGGGTTCCAAATAAATAAGTAGGTTAATTCACAAATATGAAATCTGCATAGATCAACTGTATATCACCCATTTATCTTTGCCCCAGAGGAAATATTTGCTGACATTTTGCAGTGTTTCTTTCCAGTCTTTCTCTGTACATATTTTTATATTTTTACGTAATTGAGTTCATGTTATAGATAAAATTGTGGCCTTTTTTTGCTTCTCTCTGTAAGCGTTATTGTAAACTATGCAAACTTTCTAACATTTTAAATTGCTTTATTCTGGTTTTTTATTACATGCATCATAATTTATTTTTGCATATTTACATTGCTTCTGGTTTTTAGCTGTTCTGAATCTGAACACCCTTCCTTTTTAGTGGCAGCAGGCGCTCTTTAGTGATTTCTCCCCCAGTTCGACCATCTACGGTCTCCAGTCCACTTAACTCACCTACTAGTTCCTCTACCCTTTCCTCGAAGAGTGAGAATGAATTTATCTCAGCAACTGAAGATCTGGCACCTGATGCAGCCCAGGGGGAAGGCAATTCTGAGATCAAGGAGCTCTTAGAAGATGAGGAAATAGAGAAGGAAGGATCCGAAGCAAGCTCCTCTGAGGAAGAAGAGCCTCTACCAGCCTGCAATGGCCCCCCCCAGGCCCAGCCCTCTCTTGCCATTGAAAGTGCCAAGTCCCAGGAGGAAGTTCCCCCCAACTCCCCAACTTCATCACCAGGCAGAGCCCTGAGCCCTTCAGGGCAGCCTTCATCATCTGCCGCAGAAGTCATCCTTCGAACCCGCACTGCAAGTGAAGGATCTGAACAACCAAATAAGAGAGCCTCTACCCAGAGAACCTCAGCACCCCCTTGTAGGCCTCCCCCACCCAGGGCTACTCCAAGCCCCAGGCCCTCTTCAGGGAACATACCCTCCAGCCCTCCAGCCCCTGGAGATGGTTCACCCACCAGCTCTAGGGCCTCCCTGGGGAGTGGGACTCCAAGTCCTAGGACCTCCCTAGAGGTCTTTCCTAATCCAGAACCACCAGAGAAGCCAGTAAGAACTCCTGAGGCCAAAGAAAATGAAAACATCCAGAACCCTGAAGAACTTTGCACCTCCCCCGCCTTAATAACATCTCAGGTAAGAGTAGTTCTAGTTGGGTCTTTTATTATTTATTTATGCATGCCTGCATGCTAGGGTCTCACTCTGGCACCCAGGCTGGAGTGTAATGGTGCGATCACAGCTCATTGCAGCCTCGACCTTCCAAGCCCAAGTGATCCTCCCCGCATAGAGATAGGGTCTCCCTATGTTGCTCAGGCTGGTCTTGAATTCCTGGCCTCAAGTGATCCTCCTACCTTGGCCTCCCAAGGTGCTGGGAAGACAGACGTGAGCCACTGCACCTGGCTCCAGTAGGGTCTTTATACCCTTTTATAACCTCCATGTAGGTCGTCTTTACTATAGTCAGAATACTCCTGGACACCTTTTTTGGTTCTGGGGATTTTTTCATGTCTTCATAACAATTAATTTTGTAATCTAGTTTTAGGGTAATTGACTTCTCTAAGGGGGTTATCGCTAGTAGTGTTATGAGCAGATTCTTACTAATTTCTTTCTTTTCCTCCAAGTTCTGGGAGTTCCTAGTATAAAGAACCTATAGTTGAAGCCAGGCGTGGTAGCTCATGTCTATAATTCCAGCAATTTGGGAGGCTGAGGCCCGCAGATCACTTGAGGTCAGGCTTTCAAGATTAGCCTGGCCAACACAATAAAACCCCGTCTCTACTAAAAATACAAAAATTAGTCAGGCATGGTGGCATCTGTAGTCCCAGCTACTTAGAAAGCACAAGAACACAAGAATCCCTTGAACCCAGGAGGCAGAGGTTGCAGTAAGCCGAGATCGTATCACTGCACTCCAGCCTAGGCAACAGAGTGAGACTGTATCTCAAAGAAAAGAAAAGAAAAAGAAAAAGAAAAAAAAAACCAAAATACCAAAGAAAGAAAAAAACAACAATCAATAAATAACATTTTAAAAATAAAGAACCAATAGTTAAAATCCTGAGCTTTACCTTCTTTAATGGAAGTAGGAGGGTGGGTCTCACTTCAATTCATCATACCTGTGACTGTGGTAAATAGACCCTGAAAGAAATGGCAGCAGATTTCCAGGGTATATCTTCTCTAATGAGAAGACCTAGAAGCAAGAACTCACAGAGGATAGCTACTTAGCCCACCCCCCCACCCCACCCCCCAAAAAAAGAACTCACAGAGGGAAGTAAAGCAAAAAGAACAGCCTTTTGAAAAGGCTGCTTCCTACTTAGGAGGCTGAGGCAGGAGGATTGCTGGAGCTTATGAGGTCGAGGCTGCAGTGAGTACTGCTACACCCCAGCCTGGGCACCAGAGTGAGACCCTTTTGAAAAAAGGCTTTTGAAAAAAAAAAAAATGGAGAGATGCCAACCCATTGGAAAGCAACTAGTTCTGTAAAGGATCTGTAAATCAAGTATATTCTTTTCTTTCTTTCTTTCTTTCTTTTGAGACAGGGTCTCACTCTGTCACCCAGGCTGGAATGCGATCACAACTCTCTGCAGACTTGACCTCTCTGGGCCCCAGTGATCTTCCCACCTTAGCCTCCCAACTAGCTGGTACTACAGGCACATGCCACCATACTTGCTTCATTTTTGTATTTTTGGTAGAGATGGGGTTTCTCAATGTTGCCCAGGCTGGCTTCAAACTCCGAGGCTCCAGTGATCCTCCCACCTCTACCTCCCAAAGTGCTAGGCTTATAGGTGTGAGCCACCATGCCCGGCCTCAAGTCATATTCTAGTCACATTACATAGAAAGGCTATCATATAGGGATTTGACTTGTTCTGTGATACTCCAGAGGGCAGAGGCAGATGCTATGTATAAAGTCTTTTTTTTTTTTTTTTTTTTTTTTGAGACGGAGTTTCGCTCTTGTTACCCAGGCTGGAGTGTAATGGCGCGGTCTCGGCTCACCGCAACCTCCGCCTCCTGGGTTCAGGCAATTCTCCTGCCTCAGCCTCCTGAGTAGCTGGGATTACAGGCATGCACCACCATACCCAGCTAATTTTTTGTATTTTTAGTAGGTTTAGTAGACGGGGTTTCACCATGTTGACCAGGATGGTCTTGATCTCTTGACCTCGTGATCCACCCGCCTCGGCCTCCCAAAGTGCTGGGATTACAGGCATGAGCCACCGCGCCCGGTGTATAAAGGCTTTTTTTAAGATACATTTTAGATCAATACAAGAACTTTCAACAATTAGGTCCATTTTAAAATGAGATGGAAAAAAAATATTGTGAAAGGCAAAGGAGATACAAGGGGCTGTCAAAAAATAAATATGGGATGGGCCACTTTGAGAATTAGTTCTCTTTCCTTGATGTTAAGAGCTAAGCATATATGATCTCCAGTCAGGTACATTGTAGGGAGGATTATGGTGAGATGTCTGACTAGATGACACCAAGATTTACTCATTCATTCTGCAATTACTTACTGAGTCCCTACTATGTGCCTGGCACTTTTCTAGGAGGTGGGGTATGATACTGAATGAAACAAAATTCCCTGCCTTCCTGGGACTTAACATTTTAGTGCAGGAAGATAGACCAAAAAAAAAAAAAGAATAAATAAAATTACAACCTAGTACTAATAAGTGAAATGAAGAAAAATTAAGTAGAGAAGGGCACAGGGAGTGGGAGCTGAGTTGCAAGTTTATAGAGTGGTCAGCAGTGACACGTGAGCAATGAAGAATGCTAGCACATGAGCCATGTGGATATCTGGGAGAAGCGTGTGTCATTTCTGGCACTTGCCAGATCACACCATCCTCCTACTGCCTGTTTCTGACAGAGGCTACCTCAGGAGTCTCCTGCTATCTGAGAGGAGCTAACATGGACCAAGGGTACAGGGATGGCTTCCAGGGTGGGAAGGTGTGGGACTCTCTCCTCCATTGTTCACTTTGATTCACAGATTGCTTCAGAGCCTGGAGAGGCAAAGACGATGGAAGACAAGGAAAAGGATAATAAGCTTGTCTCAGCTGACTCCTCCGAGGTACTAAAAGTCTAAGTCATCTACATGATTATGCCCTATTTTTTTTACACATTAAAATTTATTTTTCCTGTTCCAGAAGTGTATCTTTCAGATACCCTCAGTCTTGATTCACTTGAAGCACTGATGGCCCTAACAGAGCAAGATGTAAAACTTTTCCTCAAGTCAGGCTCAGTGGTATAAGCCTGTAATCCCAGCTACTTGGGAAGCTGAGGTACATCACTTGAGCCCAGGTGTTCAAGGCCATAGTATGCTATGATCGCATCTGTGAATAGCCACTGCACTCCAGCCTGGGCAACATAGTGAGATCCCATCTCTTTAAAAAAAAAATTTAATTAAAAGAACTAGGTGCAGTGCCTCAGCCTCCCAAAGTGGATGTAATCCTAGCACTTTGGGAGGCTGAGGTTAGTAGATCCCTTGACCCCAAGAGTTCAAGACCAGCCAGAGCAACATAGCAAAAACTCATTTCTACAAAAATTAGCCAAGCATGGTGTCATGTGCCTGTGGCCCTAGCTACTTGGGAAGCTGAGATAGAATCACCTGAGCCCAGGGAGACTGAGGCTACAGTGAGCAATGATTGCGCCACTGCCCTCCAGCCTGGGCAACAGAGTGAGACCCCATCTCAAAAAAAGACTTTTTAAAATTAATAATAAAAAGAACTTTTCCTTGGTCAGTTTCTAGTCTGAGGCAGCTGTGCTGATGGAGAGAGATAGGCAGGACATGTGGCAGTGAATCAGCGCAGGATAAATGCAGGGTTTTGAGTAGGTAAAGTATGGCCACTTCTCACTTTTCTGCACTGAAAAGAGCAACTCAATGGTTGAGTTGATTTCAGTTTGACTTTGCAATGTATTATATGATTTTAGATGGAGACAGTAATAGAGTGACCTTTTGTTTGCCTCTGGGGAATAATAAAACAAGCTTGCATTCTTGGGCTGATCTTTTGGAAAGGAAGAGTTTAATGGGCGCCAAGGCTCTTTCTGACCATTTTAAGGAACAGGCTAGTAACACTGTCCTCCCTGGAAAAGAGGTATAGGACACACTCTCCTTTCCTCTGAGTCTGTCTCCTTGTATTTGAGATTTATAATATTTCCTTACTCTTAGCCTCTCTGGTGGGATTGCTTTGGTCACTGGCTAAGGAGAAATATTTTTCCTCTAGAATTAAGCAACTAGAGCTTCTTAGGTCCTATCCTATTTGTGTCATTAATCCTCTGAAGCCTGTGTCCTACAAGATATGCTCACTTCTCTTGCGGATGCAATATAAATCAAATTTTCTCTCAGGCAGAATTATAGACATATCACATGTAAAAATGGGTAAATATGAATATAAGTGGGGAAAAACGTAGCCATTTCTGAAAAAAAAATTACTGGGAAAAAAATCTGTTCTTACCATTTGAATCATCTCAGAGAGATGGAAGGTTTTGATAACTTTCTGGGAGGTGATGTAACATCACCTTTGAGCTAATTCATGACCTGGAAAGGGAGGGAGTAAGAAGAAAGAAAATGTCCTTGAAAAAGAAATCATGGACTTTCAAGTGGTTCTCAGACTGTTTGAAATTGGTTTTGTTGGCTGGGTGCCGTGGCTCACGCCTGTAATCCCAGCACTTTAGGAGGCTGAGGCGTGTGGATCACTTGAGGTCAGGAGTTTGAGACTAGCCTGGTATAGCGAAGCCTCATCTATACTAAAAATACAAAAATTAGTTGAGTGTGTTGGCAGGGAGGTGCCTGTAATCCCAACTACTTGGGAGGCCGAGGCAGGAGAATCACTTGAACCCAGGAAGCAGAGGTTGCAGTGAACCAAGATCATGCCACTGCACTTCAGCCTGGGCGAAAGAACCAGATTCCTTCTCAAAAAAAAAAAGAAAGAAAGAAAAAAAACCCAAAAACAACAAAAAAAGATTGGTTCTGCTTTTAAAGTATGGATTTTATAGTTTGTGAATTAAATTTCTTGTTTAGTCTCACTCTGTCGCCCAGGTTGGAATGCAGTGATGTGATCTCGGTTCACTGCAACCTCCACATCTTAGGTTCAAGTGATTCTCCTACCTCAGCCTCCCAAGTAGCTGAGATTGCAGGCATGTGCCACCATGCCTGACTAATTTTTTGTATTTTTAGTAGAGACAGGATTTCACCATGTTAGCCAGGATGGTCTTGATCTTCTGACCTTGTGATTCACCCACCTTGGCCTCCCAAGGTGCTGGGATCAGGCATAAGCCACCACACCCGGCCTAAATTTCATTTTTTTAAAAAACTTGTTTTAAACCTCACAAGGTCTTTCCCTAGCATATAAGTTTCTAAGCAGGGCTTTCTTTTTTTAAAAAAATTATGTTTTTTAGAGATGACCTTGCTATGTTGCCCAGACTAGAGTGCAGTGGGTATTCACAAGTGCACTACAACCTTGATACTCCTGGCCTCAAGTGATTCTCCTGCCTCAGCCTCTTGAGGAAGCAGGACTACAGGCATGCACCCTACACATGGCCTAGACTGGGCTTCCTATACTTTGGGTTCCCATCTCAGAATCTAAAATTTTTCCCAAAGAAATCATTTTACCACTTGCTTCTCCTAACTGCTTATCATGGATTAGGATCACTTGAGTGCGAAACTTGCAGTACGTTCTTGAGGAAGGTTCATCTAAAAGTGGCAGGTAGTAGTTATAAGACCTCACACTCCCATATAGATACACATCTACACCATGTCACATAGATCACATGGTGTTTGATCATGGAAACAACTCTGGAATCCAAATAACTGGTTTCCTGTTGCAGCAAGTCTTTTTACCCTTTGAATCTTAGTTTCTTCATCTGTAAAAAAGGATGGATGAAAGCCTTTCCCAATGCCCTCAGGCTCTGGTGAAACAACACTGTATGTTTGCCCTTGGTAATAGTACAAATAATGAGACCCTTGTAAAGTATAAGGCACAGAAGACACTTCTATACTGAGAGTCTGGAAAGGTTGAGCCACCTCTTACTGGCAGAATTCTTCTCTTTGTAGGGCCAAGACCAGCTTGAAGTCTCCATGGTACCAAACAAGAGCAACCTCACAGCACCCGAACCTCAAGAAGAGGTAAGACCAGATATACAGAGAACAGATTGGGCATTAGATTGACCGGGGTTTGGCAATAGGCTGGAATCCTCACCACAGGATACAAGATGAATCCAGCAGTGAACCATACCCTCAGGGCAGTCAAGCAGGTGGGAACCAGAGGAAGCAAGAATGAACTGGGACTTCAGGGTGTCTCTGTGCTCATTTCCCTATGCCTGACCTAGCCCTATCTCCTAGGCATGTATTTAATTAAATCTCAAATTATTTCAGGAGTTAAAGGGGTTAAGATATTTATATATATATATATATATATATATATATATATATATATATATATACAGGGCCGGGCACAGTGGCTCACGCCTATAATCCCAACACTTTGGGAGGTGGAGGCAGGCAGATGATGAGGTCAGTTTGAGACCAGCCTGGCCAATATAGTGAAACTGTCTCTACTAAAAATACAAAAATTAGCCTGGCTTGGTGGTACTCACCTGTAGTCCCAGCTACTCAGGAGGCTGAGGCAGAAGAATTGCTTGAATCCGGGAGACAGAGGCTACAACAAGGCGAGATTGCACCAGTACACTTCAACCTGGGCAACAGAGCCAGACTCTGTCTCAAAAAAGAAAAAAAATATTTAGAGACAGTATCTCACCCTGTCACCTAAGCTGGAGTGCAGTGGCATGATCATAACTCACTGTATTCTCAAACTCCTGAGCTCCTCCTGAGACTCCATCTCAAAAAAAAAAAAAAAAAAAGTAATATGTGTATTATACAGTAATGTGTTGCTTAACAACAGAGATATGCTCTGAGAAATGCATTATTAGGCGATTTTGATATTGTTTGCATCTGTATGGTATAGCCTATTGCTCCTAGGCTGCAAACCTATACAGCATGTTACTGTACTGAATGCTGTAGGCAGTTGTGACACCATGGTAAATATGGTAAATATCTGTGTATCCAAACACAGAAAAGTACAGTAAAAATATCGTATAGAAAATAAAAAGTGGTATGCTTGTATAAGGCACTGTCATGAATGGAGCTTGCAGGACTGGAAGCTGCTCTGGGTGAGTGAGTGAGTAAATGGTGAGTGAATGTGAAGGCCGAGGGCACTACTGTACACCACTGTAGACTCTATAAACACTATACACTTAGGCTATACTATTAAAATATATTTTATTTATTTATTTATTTATTTAGAGATGGAGTTTCATTCTATTTTTTTTTTTTTTTTTTTTTTTTTTCCTGTGACGGAGTCTTACTCTTGCTCTGTCACCAGGCTGGAATGCAGTGGCACAATCCCAGTTCACTGTAACCTCTACCTCTTGGGTTCAAACGATTCTCCTGCCTCAACCTCCCAAGTAGCTGGGACTATAGGTGTGTGCCACCACACCCAGCTGATTTTTGTACTTTTAGTAGAGACAGGGTTACACCATATTGGCCAGGATGGTTTTGATCTCTTGACCTTGTGATCCACCCGCCTCGGCCTCCCAAAGTGCTGGGATTACAGGCCTGAGCCACTGTGCCCGGCGGATAGAGTTTCATTCTTCTTACCCAGGCTGGAGTGCAGTGGTGCTGTCTCGGCTCATAGCAACCTCTGCCTCCTAGGTTTAAGTGATTCTCCTGCCTCAGCCTCCCAAGAAGCTGGGATTACAGGCATGCACCACCACACCTAGCTAATTTTGTATCTTTAGTAGAGACTGGGATTACAGGCATGCGCCACCACACCTAGCTAATTTTGTATTTTTAGTAGAGACAGGGTTTCTCCATGTTGGTCAGGTTGGTCTCGAACTCCTGACCTCAGGTGATCTGCCCGCGTTGGCCTCCCAAAGTGCTGGGATTACAAGTGTGAGCCACTGCTCCTGGCCAAAATATATTTTCTTTATATCCTTATTCTGTAAGCTTTTTTCTACATTTTTTCTACTTTTTCTATTTTTTTGAAACTTTGTCAAAAACCAGGACACAGAGCTGGGTGTGGTGGCATGTACCTGTAGTAGTTCCAGCTATGCAGGAGGCTGAGGCAGGAGGATCACTTGAGCCCACAAGTCCAAATATAACCTGGGCAACATAGCTAGACACCATCTATAAACAAATAAATAAAAACACACAAACAAGCCAGGCGCGGTGGCTCACGCCTGTAATCCCAGCACTCTGGGAGGCCGAGGCGGGTGTATCACGAGGTCAAGAGATCGACACCAACCTGGTCAACATGGTGAAACCCCGTCTCTACTAAAAATACAAAAACTTAGCTGGGCCTGGTGGCACGTGCCTGTAATCCCAGCTACTCAGGAGGCTGAGGCAGGAGAATTGCCTGAACCCAGGAGGCGGAGGTTGCGATGAGCCGAGATGGCGCCATTGCACTCCAGCCTGGGTAACAAGAGCGAAACTCCGTCTCAAAAAAAAAAAGAAAAAGGAAAAAAAAAAAAAAAAAACACACGCAAACATACATTGGCCTAAGGTCAGGATCATCCATATCACTGTCTTCTACCTTTAGATCTTATCCCACTAGAAGATCTTGAGAGCATTACCACAAATGAAGCTGTTTTACAGTTAATTTTTTTTTAATAAGCAAAATGTTTTTTTTGAGACAGAGTCTTGCTCTGTCGCCCAGGGTGGAATGCAGTGGCATGATCTTGGTTCACTGCAAACTCCGCCTCCTGGGTTCAAGTGGTTCTCCTGCCTCAGCCTCCTGAGTAGCTGGAATTACAGGTGTGTGCCACCCACCTGGCTAATTTTTGTATTTTTAGTAGAGATGGGGTTTCACCATGTTGGTCAGGCTGATCTTGAACTCCTGACCTCACGATCTGCCTACCTCAGCCTCCCAAAGTGCTGGGATTACAGGCGTGAACCACCATGCCCAGCCAATAAGCAGAACTTTTTTTAATAAGTAGGAATACGGCTGGGGGCGGTGGCTCAAGCCTGTAATCCCAGCACTTTGGAAGGCCGAGGAGGGTGGATCATGAGGTCAAGAGATCGAGACCATCCTGGTCAACATGGTGAAACCCCGTCTCTACTAACAATACAAAAAAATTAGCTGGGCATGGTGGTGCGTGCCTGTAATCCCAGCTACTCAGGAGGCTGAGGCAGGAGAATTGCTTGAACCCAGGAGGCAGAGGTTGTGGTGAGCCGAGATCGCGCCATTGCATTCCAGCCTGGGTAACAAGAGCGAAACTCTGTCTCAAAAAAAAAAAAAAGAAAAAAAAAAGTAGGAATACACACTAAAATAATAATAAAATGTATTGTAGGCTGGGCGTGGTGGCTCATGCCAGTAATCCCAGCACTTTGAGAGCCTGTGGCAGGCTTATCACTTGAGGCCCAGAGTTCAAGCCCAGCCTGGCCAACACAGTGAAACCCCATCTCTACTAAAAATACAAAATTAACTGGGCGTGTTGGTGCACACCTGTAGTCCCAGCTACTTGGAAGGCTGCAGCACAAGAACATGAGAATCCCTTGACCCGGGATATGGAGGCTGCAATGAGCCGGAATTGTGCCACTGCACTCCAGCCTGGGCAATGGAGTGAGACTCTGTATCAAAAACAATATATATAGAAAAATATTTTTTGAAGTATAGTATATTAGACGCATCAAGTAATATAGTTGTTATTGTTATCAATATTATATACTGTACATAATGCATTTGCTATACTTTTTACAACTAGCATCGCTGTAGGTTTGTTTATACCAGCATCATCACAGATATGTGAATAATGTATTGGGCTGTGATGTTATGAAGGCTACAATGTTGATAATAGCTGCCACGTCACTAGGCAGTAGAAATTTTTCAGCTCCATTATAATGTTATGGGACTACCTTTGTATATAGAGTCCACTGTTGACCAAAATGTCCTTATGCAGCACATGAGCTGTATGTATTTATATTTATTAACATACACACACAACATATAGCAGAAAATTATATCAGACAGGACAGTGATAGCAAATGGAGCCATTGAATTAGGCAAGTACAAAAAATGCATTCTATAAAATAAGCTTACCTAAGGATGACAGTGAAACTAATTCCAGATTTCTAAAATCCAAGAAGAGAAAATCCTGTCAGTTAACCCAATTCATGATGCTCATTCCTTCTTTTTTTTTTTTAATTTTTTTTTATATTAACGATCTAACTCACCAGAAATGATGCTCATTCCTTAAGAGAACAGCAACTCCTACTAAGATGAAAAAGAGGCTGGGTGCAGTGGCTCACACCTGTAGCCCCAACACTTTGGGAGGCCGAGGTGGAAGGATCACTGAAGCCCGGGAGTTCAAGACCATTCTAGGCAACAATATATATTTTTTGAAATGGAGTCTCAATCTGTTGCCCAGGCTGGAGTGCAGTAGCATGATCTTAGCTCACCGCAACCTCCACCTCCCAGGTTCAGGCAATTCTCCTACCTCATCCTCCCGAGCACCTGGGATTACAGGCACATACCACCATGCCCAGGTAATTTTTGTATTTTTAGTAGAGACAGGGTTTCACCATGTTGGCCAGGCTGGTCTCGATCTCTTGACCTCAAATGATCCACCCACCTCAGCCTCCCAAAGTATTGGGATTACAGGCATGAGCCACCACACCCAACTTCAAAAATTTTTTAAGTAAATTAGCCAGGAATTGTTGTGTGTTCCTGTAGTCTAAGCTACTTGGAGGCTGAAGTGAGATCACCTGAGCCCAGGAGTTCAAGGCTACAGTTAGCTATGATTGTGGCACTATACCCTAGCCTGGGAGACAGAGCAAGACTATGTATCAAAAAGAAAAAAAAAAGAAAATTCTCCTGTGAATCATCATAAAGAGATGATGTAATGAACAATATCTGCAACAAGTCTTTGCAATAATCCCAACAACCAGTTTCACATTGCCTCCCTCAAAAGAGGCCAGTGGCATTACATGAAGTATAATTCAGTAGAAGCAAATTGAGTTTAACCCCTCCATAAGTCGTTGGTGGGAAGGCAGGTCAACACCTAACACAATCATGTTTACTTTCCAGGATTCTACAAGTGAAAATGCACAGCTCTGAAGAGAAACTGCCGAGACTCTCCCCACCCACACCTCCCCAGAGAAGCTCTTCAACCAGAGGGTATAGGTCAGAGGGATATAAGAACCAGCATTCATCCCTGGGTTCTCAGTAGGAATGCTGGTGCACTCTAAAGACCTGGCATTAATGGAGGTGGGGGAGCAGCCTTATGGGAGGAATGGAGAGAGGCAGGCTGGGGAGAAGAGAATATTAGACTCAGGGAATATTAAATTCAGGTTTTAGCATTATTAGAATAAGACTTTAAGCCGGGCACGGTGGCTCACGCCTGTAATCCTAGCACTTTTGGAGGCTGAGGTGGGTGCATCATCTGAGGTCAGGAGTTCAAGACCAGCCTGGCCAACATGGTGAAACCCCATCTAAAAAAAAAAAAAGACTTTATACATTAAAGTGAAGCTATAATCACAATAAAAAGCAAAAGTATCTATAGACACAGACACTTGTTTACACAGAGACATCACCACACATACTCAGAGTATAGTGAACAAATCTGTCTTTGACTTATGACTAATTTTGCAAGACTTAAAGCCAGAAGAACACATTTTCAGATTGTTAAATAAAGTCTGATTCTGACTCTCTGTGGATTATTTGACACAGGGCATTGTTCCAACTCAGCACACTGTTTTCCACTTAGGTACGGTTATTGATTCTGCGTCAGGTTCAGAAAGCTTTAGTCACATCCCTGACCCCAGCTCACCCTAACTCCTGACTGTAATTCTTTTTTTTTTTTTTTTTTTTGAGACGGAGTTTCGCTCTTGTTACCCAGGCTGGAGTGGAATGGCGCGATCTCGGCTCACCGCAACCTCCGCCTCCTGGGTTCAGGCAATTCTCCTGCCTCAGCCTCCTGAGTAGCTGGGATTACAGGCACGCGCCACCATGCCCAGCTAATTTTTTGTATTTTTAGTAGAGACGGGGTTTCACCATGTTGGCCAGGATGGCCTCGATCTCTCGACCTCGTGATCCACCCGCCTCGGCCTCCCAAAGTGCTGGGATTACAGGCTTGAGCCACCGCGCCCGGCTCTGACTGTAATTCTTTTATGATACCAAGGGCCACAGACTCTTCTTCATAATCCTGCATGTCCTCCCCACTTTGGTTGATAAGCAGATACACTTGGAAAGGGGTAATAACATTTTAGAGCTATATCTAGTGTTTACAATCTAGTACTTGGTATAAGTAAGGGTCTGAGCACAAGAGAGGAAGATATGAAACCGCAGGTGAAGAGAAAGGATACAAAGTTTTATAATCATCATCATATCCTGGAAATTGCAAGATATTTGGAGTCAGAAGTCCTGGATTCCTTTGGGAGGCCAAGCGGGGAAGATTGCTTGAGCCCAGAAGTTCGAGACCAGGCTGGGCAAGATGGTGAGATCTCCATCTCTTATTTTTTAAAAAAATCTTTAAAGGGTTAGGTCTGGTGGCTTACACCTTTAATCTCAGCCCTTTGGGAGGCTGAGGCAGGAGGATAACTTGAGCACAGGAGTTTGATACCAGCCTGGGCAACACAGAGAGACCCCCATCTCTACAAAAAATTTAAAAACTAGGCCAGGCATAGTAGAGCACACCTGTACTCCCAGCCACTTAGGAGGGTGAGGAGGGAGGGTCACTCTAGCCTGGGAAGTTGAATCTGCAAGGAGCCGCAATTATACCATTGTGCACCAACCTGACAGAGGGAGGCCCTATCTAAAAAAAAAAAAAAAAAATTTTAGGCCGGGCGCGGTGGCTCAAGCCTGTAATCCCAGCACTTTGGAGGCCGAGGCGGGTAGATCACGAGGTCAAGAGATCGAGACCATCCTGGTCAACATGGTGAAACCCCGTCTCTACTAAAAATACAAAAAATTAGCTGGGCATGGTGGCGTGTGCCTGTAATCCCAGCTACTCAGGAGGCTGAGGCAGGAGAATTGCCTGAACCCAGGAGGCGGAGGTTGCGGTGAGCCGAGATCGTGCCATTGCACTCCAGCCTGGGTAACAAGAGCGAAACTCCGTCTCAAAAAAAAAAAAAAAAATTTAAAGGAAGTCTTGGATTCAAGTCCTATCATTACTTTCTATGGAAATAGTTGTGAAAACATTTTTTTAAAATAGCTCTGAAGTCCTGTCACCTTTATAAGCACACATAAATGCCAAAACCCTTCCACCTTTGCTCTTGTTTTTAGGGGAGATTATCTCACCATTCGTTCAGCCATTCAGCAAGCATTTGCTGAGCATCAGCTGTCTACCAAGCACTGAGTACTAGTACTAGGTATGAGGGAAACAATGATGGGGAGGGGGTGTAAAAATAAGATCGTTAACAAGACAGAATATTGAGCAGGGAGCAGAATGGGCAAGATTTAGTGATGGGCTAGAAGGAGACACATGATGAAAACAGGTTTTAAGGAATTTTTCCCCCTGTTTTTTTTTCATTTGAGATGGAGTTTCACTCTTGTTTCCCAGGCTGGAGTGTAATGGTGCAATCTTGGCTTACTGCAACCTCTGCTTCCCAGGTTCAAGTGGTTATTCTGCCTAAGCCTCCCGAGTAGCTGGGATTACAGGCACATGCCACCACGCCTGGCTAATTTTTGTATTTTTAGTAGAGACAGGGTTTCACCATGTTGCCCAGGCTGGTCTCAAACTCCTGACTTCAAGTGATCCACCTGCCACGGCCTCCCAAAGTGCTGGGATTACAGGCGTGAGCCACCACACTCAGCCAGGAATTAATCTAAAGTAGGCTTGAAAGACTAGAACTTGGTGATGTTGTCATTCCCTGTAACGGTGACTACAGAAGGAAGTACATTCATGTGGGTTCTCTGGTTGCAAGTAACAAACTGACAAAATTAAGCAATAAAGGATATGTTGGGGTTGGGAATGGTAGTTCACACCTGTAATCCCAGCACTGGGAAGCAAAGGAGGATTGCTTGAGTTCAGGAGTTCAAGTCCAGCCTGGGTAACGTAGTGAGATCCTGTCTCTACAAAAAATTAGCCAGGCCTGGTGGCATTTACCTGTGGTCCCAGCTAGTTGGGAGGCTGAGGTGGGAGGATCGCTTGAGCCTGGAAGGCAGGGGTTGCAGTGAGCCATGATTCCATCACTGCACTCCAGCCTGGGCAGCAGAGCAAGACTCTGTCTGGAAAAAGAAGGATATGTTGGGGCCGGTTGCAGTGGCTCATGCCTGTAATCCCAGCACTTTGGGAGGCTGAGGTGGGCAGATTGCTTCAGAGCTCCTGGCAGAGCTCAGGAGTTTGAGACCAGCCTGGGCAACACAATGAAACCCCATCTCTACCAAAAAACACAAAAAGTAGGTGGGCATGGCATTGTGTGCCTGTAGTCACAGCTACTCTGGAGGCTGAGGCAATAAGAATCGCTTGAACCCCAGAGGCAGAGGTTGCAGTGAGCCGAGATTGCACCACTGCACTCCAGCCTGGGGAACAGAGTGAGACCCTGTCTTAAAAAAAAAAAAAAGAATATGTTGGAAGGATATCAGGCAGCTCACAGAGGCAAAAGAATCAGGCTGCAGGAACAAGAACCAGCCCCAGAATATCTGCAGCAGGAATGTCAGGAATGTGTGGACAGCCCCTCCAGCAGCTGCCACCTTCTGCCACTGTGTCGTCTCTAGATCCACATTCCATAGAGAAAGAATCTAACTGGCCCAGTTTGCATGATGTGTCCATCCTATGGCCAGGGAAATGGCGAACTGTGACTGGCACTATTACCAGACGTGTTAGTGCCTATGAGGAGAAGACCAGTGATAGAAGGGGATCACAATGAGGAGGGCAAATTATTTTTTTTCTTATTGAGACAGAGTCTTGCTCTGTTGCCCATGCTGGAGTGCAGTGGCACTATCTCAGCTCACTTCAACCTCCGCCTCCCAGGTTCAAGCAATTCTCCTGCCTCATCTTCCTGAGTAGCTGGACTACAGGTACCCACCACCATGCCTGGCTAATTTTTGTATTTTTTGTAGAGATGGGGTTTCACCATGATGGCCAAACTGATGTTACTCTTTAAAAAGCATTATCTTTGCTTTGGGAGGCCAAGGCTCGAGAATTGCTTCAGCCTGAGTTCAAGGTCAGTCTGGGTGACAAAGCAAGACCCCATCTCCACAAAAAATAAAAAATTATCTAGGCGTGGTAGCACATACCTGTAGCCCCAGCCACTCCAGAGGCTGAGGCAGGAGGATATCTTGAGCCCAAATCAAGGCTGCAGTGGTCTTTCATCACACCATTGCACTCCAGCCTGGGCAACAGAGTGAGACCCAGTCTCAAAAAAAAAAAGAAGGATCATCTTCAAAGGATCTCTACTGTGTACAGCAGTAATGGAAGAGAAGCTTGCACTTCCCGAGAGGAGAGTTGTTCTTCAAATGATAAAAGCCCTACTGCCTGTCCCTTTTCATAGCTCTCCTAAAAGGTGTTCCACTCCCTTGGCATTCAGAATCACTGATGGGAGTGATACAGGGAAAGTGCTGGCAATAGAGGCCCCTAGCTGCACAAGGCCCTCAACTCTTTTCTCTCCACGGCTTTCCCTCCTCTCCTCAGGAGACTGGTCCTCTTTGGCATGTGCCAGAGACTTCTAGGGACTTACAGTCTGGCGAGGCAGACAAGCAGTAACTGCTGCAATAGAGGCACACCTGAAGTGAAAACTTTTGCTCAGTTTTGAGATTGGCACTTTGTTTGCATATGGCCCTACTAAAAGCTCCAAGGAGGCAGGGGATAGGGCCAGTGTGCTTACCTAGGGTGGATAGGGCCCTTTGGGGAACAGCTTGTTTACCCTGACTGACAAAATGGTAGTGTTGTGCAGGGGAAAAACTGCCATCCTGGCAGCAGCACAAGATGGGACTGAAGGCCAATAAAACTGGGTGGAGGTGACTGTCTCCTGTCCCCTCCCCTGAGGCCCCTTGAGGTCTGTTGACAAAAGGATGGCTGTTGCAGTTTCTGAGGTTTAGCATTTAATCCTTGGAGAACACTGGTACTTCACCGCCACAAGGCTTCGTTAATCATCTGTCTGTATGCCTCTCTATATAGAATTAATTGCAAGAGCATCCTCCAGTCCCTGCCCTCCAGCAGTTTGAAGGACATACTGACAATTTAGGTAAGACATGCAGAGAAATTGAGACATGACATCCAGATAGAGAGCACACACAGCAAAGAGCATAATACGCACACTGCTTACAATAGTCTTTATTTTACACCAGACTGCATGCTGAGCATGTGCCTATTGGATCCTGTTTTTCTGTATGTTTACACTTCTTAAATGAGGTATGTTGGCCAGGCTCAGTGGCTCACGCCTGCAATCCCAGCACTTTGGGAGGCTGAGGTGGGCG